GGTTGTCCAGTGCCCTTCGCAGCTGCAGTGCCGTGAACTCAGTTACTATTTTCATTGTGGCCGTTATTGTTTTCTAATGCTTTAATTGCTGCAAGTGTACCAGGATTCTCATTTATTCCTCTATCGAGGGTGTTAAATCGGTGGATAAGGTATGACTCTCGTTGTTCACGTTCTCGATTTGATTTAAATCCCGTCTCTAAGAGCGTTACTGATAGTTTGTCGAATGCATGCATGGTCGGGAAGATTGAGATGTTTTGATAGAGGTAGACTTGGGGCTGATTTCGCATGGGCTCTGTGATTTTTGAAGCGAATCCTAAATGGTGTTTCTGTTTGTCCGATGTACTGCAAACCACACACGTTGCATTCGAATAGGTACACCACATTAGAGGAATCGCATGTTAGGTTTCCTCGTATGTTAATCTAAAACTTGGATTACGTGCTGGTTGCTTTGTCTGTTTCTCGCATCGCCTTACATACAAGACATCGTGGCTTTAAGCAAGGGCGGCATGAATTATTGGGGGGTGATGTGTTCATTTGGGAGTGGACAAGGGTGTCTTTGAGGTTACGTGATCGTCGGTAAACGACGCCTGGAGCGGATGGGAATGCGCGTTTCAGACGGTCACTTTGTTCCAGAATGTTGTAATGTCGTTCAAGGATTTTGTTTACATTGGGGAAGTTTGTGCTGTAAGTCAAGCAGAGGTTTGTTCGTTGTGGGTCTTCTCGTGGTGGTCGCTTCATAAGCAAGTCTTCACGCTTTAGTTTTCTCGCTTTTTGAACAGCGTCCTTAATTACATGTGGGGGGTATTTTTGTTGCTCGAGCATAAGTTTTAGCCTCTGTGAGCTCGTGTCAAAGTTAGCGTCTTTAGAGCAGATTCGCTTAAACCGGTGAGCCTGGCTATATGGAATACTGTTTTTACAGTGGCGTGGGTGATCGCTTTGGTAATGAAGGTATTGTTGTCGATCCGTTGGTTTGCGATATAGGGTTGTAGAGAGCTTCTCTTCTTCTATGTTTATGGTAACATCAAGAAAATGTACGGTAACTTGCGAGTATGTGTGTGTGAAGTGTATGTTCGGATGTACAGCATTGTAAGTGTCTATAAAGCTGAGAAGTTTGTCCTCGCTGTGGGTCCAAATAAGAAAGATGTTGTCTATGTATCTTCTGTATAACATTGGTTTTAAGGAACTTTGTGCAAGAAATTCAGATTCTAGCTTTTCCATAAATATGCTGGCATAATTAAGTGCCATTTTGATGCCCATAGCGGTCCCGCTGATTTGTCGAAAATACTCTTGGTTAAACTCGAATGAACATAATTCGAGGACCATCCTCGTCAATGTTGCAATGGCAGAGAAATCTGGGGTGTTAGATTGTCTATGGTTTGTATACGTGTTTTGTAATGCAGCTATGCCGTCATCGTGAGGAATATTTGTATATAATGAAGAGACATCAAGAGTAACCAAGTACGAGTTTTTCGGCACACAGATACCCGCAATGTCTCGAAGAAAATGTGTGGTGTCTTTTATGTACGACGCGAGGGTGCATGGAATGTGGCTTATTAGTTTGTCCACGTACCCTGATATGGGTTCAGTTATTGTACCGATGCCTAATATGATTGGTCGACCTGGGTTACCGGGTTTATGAATTTGGGAGGATTTAGAAGCGACCTGGACGTGGGTATGCTGCTTGCATCAGTTTGTGGTCAGTGTTGGTTATCTTTTCTGCGTCCAACAGTTTCTTTAGTTATTTTGATACGATACGTTTGTATTCGTCTGTCGGATCACCTGAGAGGCGTTCGTAAAATCTTGAGTCATCTAGTTGGCGGTATGCTTCTTGTAGGTAGTTGATTGTATTAAGGACTACAATTGCTCCTCCTTTGTCAGCGGGTTTTATTGTTATGTCTGTCCTAGATGCCAAATTTTTCATACTTATTTTTTCAGATTTGGTCAAGTTTTCTCGGTTTCCTTTCTGTCTGTGGTATTCGTGTACTATATCTTTCTGTACTCGGTGATATAAAGGTCCAAGCACTTGTCTCGATTACTGTTCGGTGTCCAATCATTTGATTTACGACGCTGAATTGTTTCGTGGTTAGAAGGCCTATCCAAGAAATATTCACGCAACCTTAAGCTTCGAGCGAAGTTGTCGAGGTCTCGGAGTAAGTGGAATTCATCGAAAAATTTTGTGGTCGGGCAGAAGCTTAGTCCCTTAGATAGCAATTTTACTTCGTCAGGTGACAAGCTCGTGTCCGATAAGTTCACAACCACAGTGTCACACGGTGTGTTCCTAGATGGGTGCTCGTTTGTACCATTAGTGTTTTCCTGGGTGGTGGTGTTGTAATGATAAGGCACTGTATCAGGGAACGCGAGTTTGGGCACATGGTCTCTTTCGAGTTTATGAATTTTTGTGGTCCTGATGTCTTGGCATTTATTCTGCTCAAATTCTGTTAATCGCGTGATTTCTTCGTTCGATAAAGTGTTGTGGCGGAGAATGGTGTTGGTCATAGCAACCAGTTTCTTTACCTGCTTGTCACTATGATTAAGAGCAATTTCTGTTAATTTAAGAGATGCCTCAAGGAGGACGTTTTTCCATGTTATTTGGTCGTGTTTATCTAGATTTGTAGCGGCTGGTGTGAGGGGGAGTGTCATACCCTTGGGGGCTATTCTAGCACGAAGGTACACTTGCAATGTTGATTTATGCATTTCATGTCTAATTCGTTTGTCAGCAAGTTTTCGTACTTTAAGGAAAGTGGCACTGCAACTGGGAAGTGATGAGCTGGACTTACATTTCAGAAATCAATCTTCTTTTGGGTGCGGGGATGGCACTGATGAGGTGCGCAGGTTGTAGTTATGTCCGGCAGGCCTTCGTCGTTGTGGGGAGAATTTCGGCGTTGGGCTCCCGGCGAACGTGTTCGTTGGCAGTTCTGGGGTCCATAATAGGGGGACGCGGTTCCGTTGTTCGGCAGGCTTCCCTTTGAGGAGTGGTGTAGTGGTGCTGTCGTGTAGTGCTTTTGGTCTCGACATCCGCAATGGAGGGACGCGTGTTGGCTGTTCTGCAGACTTCCCCCCTAGTAGTGGTGCGCTGTTGATGATGGTGAGGGGGTGCTTGAGGCTCGCGGGAGTCACAGTTTCGTTGATCGTCGGGAACTCATCTGTGGTGTTGGGTGGGTGTGGGGCTCCTGGTGTATGTTGATACACCAGGAGCCCCACACCCACCCTTTTTTCTTTTTTTTCTTTCCTTTTTTTCTTTTTTTCTTTCCTTTTTTTCCCTCTTTTCTTGCCCTCTGATTTGAGATTGTATAAAGCTGAGCGCCGACAAACTGTATCTTTATTCCTGATGAAGGCCAGACTCTAGGCCGAAACGTCGAAATAAGCCACGTTGTGACCGCTCACGGAGGATCTACTAGACTATATGCAACGCTACAGCCACTCAACCACCATGCCTGCCTATATATATATATATATATATATATATATATATATATATATATATATATATATATATATATATATATATATATATATATATATATATACCTGTTACGCCTTTGTCGTGTTCTGCCTAACTTTGTGGTTAGCACCACAAGCATGCCCGGAGCTACGCGAGGTTTCTTTAGGAAGTTGCGGACAGCGTCCGGTTCTTCTTAGTTCGGCTTTCCAATGAATACCCTTTTTTGGTCGGGCGAAAGAAATTGCATAAAGACATATGTGACATGATTTTTCCAGTTCCTATATATAGGTTAATCAATAGCGGGGGAGAAGGCAATGATGTTCTTAAGCGTGTTACGAGAATGCAAATTCAGCCTAGTGCAAAAAGCTTTTTCTTTAAATTACACCCCGGAACACTACCGGTTAAGACTTTTTTAGAAGATAGAGGAGTTTATATGCCATGGGGTTTGAACTGCTTATCTGCCGAAAGCCGGAGACAATAGATCACGTTTTTTTGCATTGTTGGGAAGGCGTTTATTTCTGGAATGTTTTACAGAGAACTCTAAAAAAAGGAACTTCCCTTACATTCACTGGGTACCCTACTGAAACGTTCCGCATGTACGGATCCGTACATACGCAATTATTGGACTACGGAAAGCCGCATCATGCGGAAAGATGCGAACACCGCAGCTTACGGAAAGCGCCATATCATGCGAAAAGATGCGGACATCCGCAGCTTACGGAAAGCGCCATATCATGCAGAAAGATGCGGACATCCGCAGCTTACGGAAAGTGCCATATCATGCTAATTTACCCGATAAGCAGCTTACGGAAATCAGCATAATGCAGAAACCATGCAGCTATCCACTGCATCTTGCAAAGAACAAATGGACATATAGATCTTGAGTAAAAGCAATTGGCCGATCACGTTGTTTGCAAAAGCAAGTACTGTGTAGAAATATATATGTATATTTCATTCTTAATAAGTTGCATGAAGGTGAAATACGTTTGCTATCTGAAACAGCCTTGATGAGTAAACAAAGGCTTGAAAGAAACAAATGTGTTAAGAACCTACTTAATTAATATGCTGGACATCACAAGCTGCCTTCATACTCCTACAAAATAATGCAGGGTTTATGTAATAGAAAAGTGCCAGCTAAATCTCCCTATAGCTGCTTAGGACGGCATAATAAATGTATCTTCTGTTAGAATTTAATGAAATCAGTCCTTGCACAAGAAAAGCGTTTACATGCACTTCACTAGCAGCCTTGCTGCAAGGACTAAATCTTTTTTATTTTCTGTGTATCCTAGCTGTGATATCAGTTTGCATGCATACCTCAATGCTGACTTCAAATAACATGACCTTGCACCACCACTTCACGAGTGATAGCTCACCCACAAAAAGATGGGGCAAAATAATGTGCAACAACAATTTAAAAATGAACAATTTATAAAAAACAGTCTTCTTGCTGGTACGGTTGCTGCTTTGACGACCTGTACTGTCAGGTGGCGACCGCTGCGACTGGCTTGCCAAGAAAAGGAGAGGATACCCCTCCCCCCCCCCGCATGCTTCTTCCAGCTCATTTCTTGAGAACTTTCAATAAATCTGCCAGATGCCGGTTCATGTTCCGGCGACGCTGAGCAACTGGTAGCTGGCTTTCATGCACCCTCAGGTGTTCCTCGTATGCATCTGAATACATAAATCATAAACAGATATGAGTCAGAAGCACATTTAGGCAGCTTAATAATGCAGAAAAATAAAACATACAGAATGACACTGAAAAAGAAATACCCATATTATTTTTTTGTATATACATCAATATCAATGGAAAGTGCGTGAATGAGCACCATTGTAAGCAAGAACATGTAAATTACGTGCTTATCTCATGGAAAATAACTAAGTACGTCTTTCTCACTAAATTGAACGGGATGATAAATCTATAGTGAAATCACATTATGTGAAATCTTGAATTAAACATTCAAATATTTCTTGGATACTAACTAAAATTAAAGTATTGCCATTAAAAGCCCGCACTCAGAATATGTGTGTGTGTGAGTGTATATATATATGTATATATATATATATACATATATATATATATATATATATATATATATATATATATATATATATATATATATATATATATATATATAGGATATGGCACAACGGGAGCGTTGTCAACAAGGATAAATATATTTATTTCCCAACAGTTTCGGGAGGGGACCTCCCTTCATCAGGGGATGAGTTATACTGACATGAGCTTCCAAACTTCCTTGCTGCCGCGTCCCTCTCGCCTTGAAAGACGTTTGCGAGAGTGAGAGGGAACTGGAAAAAGGAAAAAAAACAAAAAAGGGGAGAAAAAAGACGAAAAAAGAAAGAAAAGAAAGAAAGTAAAAAAGAGGAAGAACCACTGTCAACACTGAGAACGAAGCCAACTGTCCGTCTACATCCACCTACGGTTCATATCACGTGCTGTTCAGTTTGGCAGGCGCAGAAGATGTCTAGATAAAGGTAGCTTCGGCAGTGAAGTGGCGTGGTTCCGGCGATTATTGAACCGCAGCCGAAATGGCGTGTCTGTTTGGCCGATATATTCTTGTCCGCAGATGTTGCAATGTAGCATGTATATTACGTTACTGGAGTCACAATTAAGGCTTTCAGTTATGCAGAATTTGAAATCCGAGAAGTTCGCTTTGGATTCACGTGTTGTGAGCATCTGTGGGCATACCTTGCATCGAGATTTTCCGCAGGGATGGCACCCTGATTGAATTTTGGGGGTGTTTGTTTTTGCTCTGACAAGAATGTCCTTCAGATTTTTATCCCGGCGGTACACCACGTGAGGTGGCTTCGCGAAAATAGAAGTTAGTCGTTTCTGACTCCAGTGGCTTGTGACTCCAGTAACGTAATATACATGCTACATTGCAACATCTGCGGACAAGAATATATCGGCCAAACAGACATGCCATTTCGGCTGCGGTTCAATAATCACCGGTACCACGCCACTTCACTGCCGAAGCTACATTTATCTAGACATCTGCGCCTGCCAAACCACAGTTTTGAAAATATTAGCGTAACTCTTTTGCAATCCGGTTTTTCAAACAGACGCGAGCGCGAACAGCGTGAGGCATTTTTTAGTTTCAAATTTCGTACATTAGTAGCCGGTATCAACGAGGACCCCGGAAAACTCAACTGCCTCCGAGAAGTAAGCCAGGAGAAAATTGGTGACAAAGATTGATAGCTGGAGACCATGCTTTTTTCTGACTGACTCGTACGTGTACACTGTCCTTTCTTCTTTTTTTTTTCCACATGCACATACAAAGTGTTTACGTTCGCCTACCACTTCATGACCGTTGAAGGAAAACGGACGAAGATTAAAGGTAAATAGCCGACCGACCCATTAACGAGAAACCTTTCCTTTACACACACCGCCCGCTGAACGACCAATTACGGGGAAACCCCTTTCTTTAGGCACGCCGTCCCGGACCCTCCCGGCACCGCGGCGACAATCTTGGGTGGCCCGACACACGCCAAGAACTGAACAGCACATGATATGAACCGTAGGTGAATGTAGACGGACAGTTGGCTTCGTTCTCAGTGTTGACAGTGGTTCTTCCTCTTTTTTACTTTCTTTCTTTTCTTTCTTTTTTCGTCTTTTTTCTCCCCTTTTTTGTTTTTTTTCCTTTTTCCAGTTCCCTCTCACTCTCGCAAACGTCTTTCAAGGCGAGAGGGACGCGGCAGCAAGGAAGTTTGGAAGCTCATGTCAGTATAACTCATCCCCTGATGAAGGGAGGTCCCCTCCCGAAACTGTTGGGAAATAAATATATTTATCCTTGTTGACAACGCTCCCGTTGTGCCATATCCCATACCTTCACGAAGACTAACTGGCCCATTGAATTATTACTCCCACTATATATATATATATATATATATATATATATATATATATATATATATATATATATATATATATATATATATATATATATATATATATATAAGCACATTTACTTCCCTTAAACTTTGGTTTGTCTGCAATATTACTACTTGAACACCTTTTCAGCACAAAACACTGCAAGTTATGAATCTGAGAGATATACACACACGTAAACAGGATCGCGTATTCGCCATTAAAATACGTGCTACCCAGACCGCAACAGCCCACCAAATAGAATACGCATGAGCAAACAGCAAGTTTTAAACCTAATAAAATCAGTTATAAAAAAATTGAATAACACTTTGCACTGTGCAGCATTCCTTGCAAAAGCATGACCCTAGTATTCATTGGCATATTGAAGACATAATGAAAAGTAAATTGTAATTCAGCTGGATCAGTATGATAACCTATGTGATTACCCCTATACAAAATTAAATTTTACTATTTGATCTCTGGCAAAAAAAATCGAAATAATTGCACTGTTTGAAACTTGAAAAACCAAAAAGTACTAGCACTCATCAACGTTGATAATGTATATTGATTCAAAAAACAGACTAAAGAAATATTCAATCACTTATCCACAAACTCCAAACACTCTTCGAAAGGGAAATTGCTTGGACTTGTTAGTTGTTCATCGTTCTTCACAAAACAGGGTGCAAGTAAGAACACAGGCAGGAGAAGAGACCAGGGTGAGCAATCGTCTTGGTTTCTTTCTTGTCCCCTGTTCTTATTTGTGCTGTTTTATGAAGGTCCTAACACACTCTAGAAACTATGTAATCGAGGCTGATATGACACCGTAGTGACTACCTTGATGTACTTCAAGCAAGGAAAGGTTATGAGAGGAAGTTTTAATACTATTTTAATATTATTACTTCAACAGCACATTGAGTGAATACACAGAAGCCAACACTTTATTGACAGTGAAAAATTCGAAGAAGCTTGTTTAGTTCAACTCATGGGCAGCAACAGTATTTATTCATCCTGTTTATATAATGTAGAACCACGACCAAAGGTCATTAGTCATGGTGCCCATGAGTTCCCTTTGATTTTGCCCTCAATGGCTGCCAGATCAAATGTGATATATGTAATATAAGTGTAATATATAGTGATCTGAGTCAGTGATGTCTGCATTTTACCAGTCTTCCAAAACTGCAAGGTTATACTGGCAAGAACTGAATAGCTGGTGTCACAATCCATGCATAGTAATATTTTAAAGGTGAACATATTCAACAGAGTCTGGCTTGGTGAAAATCAATAAAAATAAAATAAACTTTCCAGCCGCTTGTAGACCAATGTATTTAAACTTGAAATTTGAAAACTATAAACTGATCCATTGTTTCAGGACCATTTCGTCTCTTTCTTCTGGGGTGACTGCTTGGCAGGCTCATAAACGAGAATGGACAATATCAAATGCCATGCTTTTGTTGGCTCCACATAATGTTTTGTTTTATATTGGATTTAGCCATATCAGACTGCAATGCCAAATCCAAAGGCCAAGCCTAGTTAATCGAGTGCTTTTTCTTAGCAGAGTTGTTCATACGCTAGGTATGATCAATTGCAACATATTTCAGTTTTCGACTACATGTACTTCTTCAAGATTGAGTTAAAACCCCAAGTTGTTTTTATGACTATTGCATAACCACAAATGAGTTCTCACCGACCGACGAGATTTTCCACATTAATATTTCTCTGCTACCCAAATATTTTTTCAGGGAAATTACTGAAAATTATGTTGATGGTTTCAAGTGCTAGGTGCATGGTTGGTACATTCCTCATTTTAATGCTTGTAAGAATTACCTCAAACTGTACAAACTTGACGATACTCCTACGAAAAAGAGATAATAAATTTAGCTCTGGTACTTGTAATGTACTGGCTACCATAGGCAGTGCAAACAGTTACCATAAATACAAAATAAAAGGCTTACTCCTCAGGGCATCCAGCTTCCTAGGCGTCAATGCTTGTTTTTGTACGCTTGGTGGCCCACCATCCTCCTTGTGAAGAAAGCGGCGACATGGGGTGCCCGTGATGCTCCTATTGTAGAGATTTTGGATCCCCCATATCGCCTTGGCTGTGTCCCTCACAAAAAGGGTATCTTTTGGCTGCGCCATCAGGAAGAGCCACTTTTCTTGGGAGATTTTGACTCCATTCCCAAGATCTTTCTGCATAAAAGAATACATAATGCCATAATGTAGATCATTCATGGATAATGAAAGCAATTTTAATTAAATGTCTTAACGCAAGTTTATATGAATTTTTGTTTATAAATCTTGACTTCTCAATTGTTAAAGAATCATTTTTGACAAAGTAACATAAAAAATTTAAGTTGGATGTAATTTCGATGACAACCAGGAAATTCCTCAGTTGAAAACTTTACCGTAAACATACATGCACGCTGAATGATAATGTAGTGTCATCATCACTCAGCGTGAGGCACACACCCAGCCCTTATCTGAAGCAATCTTCAGACCTTGAGTACTTCCCCAATTCAACCTTTGCACCTATGGTCCCACTACACATGTGCAACTGAATAATATTTTTTTCTTTCCATATAATTCTCCCAGCTGCTTCTTAGTTCAGAGGAATGCTTTTTTACTGTATCGAGAGATAGCATATGTGATGCAATGCATGCCTGTACACATCAGTACATGCAGTTCCTAGCTGAACATAGCTGCAGGTGACTGTTTTTCTGGCTTGCTTTTTTCTATTTCTTCTATCATGCTTCAGCATGTACCATCATTTTTGTTTGTTCATCAGACTGGATGTAAGTTGAACTTTTTCATCCTCAACATCTCTATAGCTTTCACCACCCATGCATTGCTTTCTGTCAGGCAGAATATACATTTCTACGCAATTTGTGTTTTTCCAAGCCTTTGTTTTCACTTAGACTTGGTTATTCATTTTAAAAGAAAACGCCTTGAATTTGTCATTGAACTCTTGGCCTCATGAATAAAAAAACCTTTTAAGATTTTGAGATGCTCCTCAAGTTCTTTTGCTGTAAAAAATAAAAAAACTACCTCATACTGCAAACTGCAGCACATTTGAGAACACAGGGAAAAGCTGGACTTCCTAGTTCCGAGTGCCACAAATGTGTATGCAAGCCTGAGTTGCACACAAGGTTGTCAATAATTAATGGCACAAAAATAATACAAACTAGTATTGTTAAGTAGACTACACAAAAAGGAATAGAGGTATTGTTACTATAACAAGATATTACACATAAAAGAGAACCATGAAAAGGCCAAGTAAACATCGTCTTTGGTGGCTGCACGTGATCTTCATTTCTACAATGAAAGCAGCACTCAAGTGCTGTACCAATGGTGCCACCAACCAAACGAGCCTCAGCAAAAGCTGGGACTTTCACCTTTGTGACAGCTAGGGATCAAGAGTGCCTGAGTGAAATTTGGGGGTAGAAAAAAATTGAAACAAAACTGCCATCAACGTGGCACATGGGATACAAAGGGTCAAACATATTACTGTAAAAACTCACATATAGTCTGAAGTTTTTCTCAAATTTCATGATGCAACATTTCTGCTCCATACTATATATGCTGATTTGAAAATTTTCTTGCCAGGATTCAGTTTCGGTTTTGACACTGTGCAGTGCTATCATCATCACCAAGCTTATGCAACAAGTACTGTTGCAATCACATCATGATGCCCAAGATTTTAAACCATATAACTGCAAAAAGCAGCATTCAGCTGCATTTAAAACATTTTTTATGCTGAGTGGGTACTGCCAGACTTGAATCAGAAGCATGGAGCACTGCCGGGATTCTCATCTACATTTGTGCTCGACGTCTATTGGTGTTACTACCAAAAAATGACTGCTGTGTGACTACTGCTGCGGGTCATCACCCAGGGGAGTTTGCATCTCAGCTGCACCCAGTGTGCAGCTAAGCAGAGGAGTGCAGTCCTCACATCATTTCAAGTTAGATGGCAGTGATTCAATATGCATTCAGAAATGGGGGAAAAAATGAAGGGGAAGAACACACAAAGTAGGAACAGTGTGCTGCAAAGCGATGTCCACTACAGACATGAAAAAAGCAAAAAGCAGGAAAGTTCGAAGCCTGCAGACAGTTGCCATGTCCTGCCAACACAAAAAGTTGCCGGTGATAGCAGCGTACCTACTTCGCGCATTTCTCTTCTTGTTTTTTTTTCGTCCTCCCCCCTTTTTTCCCCACCCTCCAAGAACATTTTGAACCACTACCGTCTAACTTGAAATGAAGCAAGGACTGCACTCCTTTCCTTTATAGTTTTTTTTATTTTGAGACGGCGATTATGAACAGAGACTTGCGCCTCCACCAGATGACGTCACTACAAACCCCCTTAAAATTAACACGCCAAGATGACAAAGATAGGTCCTCCTATCAAAATGTCGGCCAGCCTGTCTGAGACATTTCCACTGTTCACTTCGATTATCCCACTACATGTTTCCATCTGTTGGCTCCTACCTTGACTTTGAAAACTGCAGCAAACGAAAGAAACAATGGCAGAGATGGCACCCAGACAGCCAGGTCGGATGCGCAGGAGACGGCCAGTTTTGAAATGCTAATGGCAATGCAACAGGCAGGCTTTTTCCTGTTCTGCTCAATTTTAGCGCGGATGCACGTTTTAGACTCAGTTTACCATAAAAAGAAGATGCACATTAGATTTCAGTAGATATGATAAGTGCATAAATCAGTGTATTCAGTTTCTGCTTTCCTTGGCTTATACACAGGTAAAATGTTTTTGCGTTAGGTGTCCCCAAAATGCACCTCAGGCTTTATGCGCATCCGACCTGTGGGTTTTACAGCAATATGTACCCTTGTAACACCAAATCATGTGTCCCTATAAAGGGACACATGACTGTGTCCCCCTTCATAAAAAATGGCTTGATGTCCCGACCGCTTTTACGTTTGTGCACACAGGGCCAGCAAGTGGCACATGGGAAACAAAGTTAGTTGTCATAAGTTGCTGTGTCATTAAAAATGCTTGTATACAGGGACATGACCAAATGCATTGCTAGTATTGCTTCTGTTCCTAATGCAGGAAGACACTGGAGGGATAAAAAAAGTAAAGGTGAAAAACTCTAGAATATATTGTTGGGCTAGCTGGTTCATTCTGAAGAGAGGAGATGAAGGACGCAACCCACACAGATGACAAAAAAAAGGCTACAGAAACAACATCCTGTCCAGCCCCCCACCCCCCTCCCTTTTTTTTGATATACATGGGTTGCACCCTTCACCTTTCTTCAGTAGGTCGATGCAGAATGCCATGTGATGACGATTTTCACCTTAGCCAGAGCACCAGTTATGGGAACTCGCTGCTAACTTTCTTGCAAAATTCTACAACAGCTATGCAGTCTCAAACCGTTTATTCGGCCAAACACTGGTTGAAATACATGCAGACTTGGTGGTGCATAGGCATGCATCTACAGACTAATATTGATTAGTTTTTTCAGCTACAAGGCCAATATAGGTGCTGTTTTTGTAGGACCCCCCCCCCCTCCTGTTTTTTTTTACACTCAAGTATTCAAACTTCACACCCATTCACACCGAGTCCATATAGACGGTTAGCAACTGTACTACCGGTGCACCTGCACAGTACTCGGCATTTGTACACACAAGATTTCTGTGCAATGAAAACAGGAGCGAAAAAAAGATGACAGTAAGTCCACCTTCATAACTGATCATGTTATTAGTGGTGTGTGGCGTATACCAGGCAATTATGAATGTTTTACAGGGAACCTTACCTGGGTAGTCTCAGCTTCGGAACAGTGCTGAGCTCCTTGTGGCACCACTGGCATCAGAGCTGGTGGTGGTAGTGTCTGCTGCGCATCTACTAACAGCACTGCTGGTGGTGGGGGCAGTGGTGTTGCTGCTGCTACTGCTGATGCTACTGGAGGTGGCACTGGCGTTGCAGCATGTGGTGCCTGTATTTGAAGTAAATATTCGAGATGTTAGCACTTTCAGTGATTCAATTAACACACAAATATCTCAACATCTAAAAACAAACTAACTCTACGTGTCAAAAATGCCTTCATTTTATTGCAAAACTTTGCTATACAGGATTCCAACATTTCAGTACTGCTAATTAAGTGTGAAATTATAAGAGCATGGATGTGTATTGAAATCTTTGCAATATGTATTTCATGGGGAGACAGAAATTTAAGTAAGACGTATTATTGCAAAAATCACATTAACCAAAGAGACTAACAACAGGAGAAAAATATGCATACTGGGTCAGAACTGATGCTTATTGAGCAGTACTAAACAAAAAGCACCAGCTCATGCCAGCAGTATAGTGCAATTCTTTTTGCTCCTGGCCGTCATTTTAAAATAAATGTAACAACAGTAACAGTTTACGATGCAGCACGTCATTTGTCCCACTTTACATCAGTAGTATTTCACCATCACTATCGGCGAAAAGATAATTAAGTAAGCTATTCAACAATAATGGTGAATAAGACTAATTCTCAGCAATTTATATTATATTTCTATAGAAGTTAGAGAGTTGTGCAAGTTGGTACTTGCATGATGCATAAAAAGAACATGGAACAAGATAAACAAGTAGACAGAGCATAAGTACCAAACACATGAAGAAAAATCTCGTGATACGTACTATAAAGAATTGCCATTTCTTTTGATCAAAGTGCTCGCAAATTTTTTTCGTTATGTGCGTTTGGGGTGTATATTATTGGCAGACTACTAGCGCCTGCACTAGGTGCACGTGCCCTGTTATGAGTAAAAGAAGATGGCACTCTGTAGAAAGAGGGATACACGCGATTTGCTTATGTGCCGTTTGAGTATAAGCCTGTGTGGCATGTGAATTCTTCTGTGAGAGTAAATCCATTTCTTATTGCGAGGTCTCATGTGAATTAAGGACACCGCAATGACAACAATATGCATTGCATATTTTTGTTGTTAAGTTTAGTTGAGTCAGTACTTATCTTATTTTTCTTTTGTTAAAGCTTAACAATGCCCTGACAGGATGCCTGTTCAACGAGCCATATTCCTGCACAACTTGTCGTGCAACTAACACTGAATTTGGGAGTGCCTGCAGCAATGACATAGCAGCACAATGGAAGGAAAACTATCGCTCAAAACCCTAGAGCAATGTTATAGTCTCATGAAATCTTATAAAAATAAGTACTCCTACTTTGGACATAATTATCCACTAACACTGCTCCAGAATGAGCTCACTTCTAACGACCATTGATGCATACCGTATATTGAAGGCTGTCAACCACGTCATCTCCAGCAGCGTGGCGGTCCTCCTCCCTTGGCCCACAAAACCCCTGTGCACCTGGCTCTGGCACCTAAAATAAGACATTGCAAGTTTAGAGGGACACTAAAGGGCAAGATGACTTTTCTCACCCCATAAGTAAAGTAGCCTTCGACGATACCAAAACACCACACTTGCAGGGAGAATACACTTAATAAGCGAGAAAACCCGCAAGAAAAATACAGGTGACAACGCCACCTTAAAGTTTCCAGACCATTTGCTGTGACGTCACAAATTTTGAGGGCTCCTACTAAGGTCTACGTGGTTTCTAATTGAAGAAAATTCAGTAAATTGTCATCAGAGGATGGCACAGACCTAACACATTAAGGTTGAGGAAATCGCATTTAGACAGTGTAACCTAAATACAATAAATACACTTTAAAATCTTTGACATCACACACTCAGACTTCGGCACAAAATTTAAACATGAAAATCTGAACTGTTTTTTTTTCTTTAGTAATAAACCAATGGTAGTGAAATAAATGACAATAAAGTTCTCAGAGTACAATTTATCAATCTAAACTAATTCACTGTTTTTCTCGTACGTCCCATCAAAGGAGTACAGCAAAATTTTACATATTGTTAATTTCAATAAAATAAGCAGCTATCGACCCAATCATTAGGTTACAAATGTTACTTTACAGCAAGATAATTGGCCTGTTATTTTCGGAGACAATTTTATTGCACGAAGTTGTAGTAGAGATACAGAAAGAACATGCAGAGGTGCGGGACAGGAGTGGTTTCTTTGTAAACCCAGATGGCTAAATTGAAGGAATCCTGTGACCCAAATTAAGCATGCAGTTTTCACCCCTTTTTCTCCAACTGTAGAATGCACTGTCGTTACATAAGTGGCAACCACAGAAACAATGCTATTATGATTTAATTTAATATTAAACTTTGTTTTCGGAACACAGTGGCACAGAGCAGCTATTTTTATGATTAGAAGCAATGCTTCATTATGTGGGAGTGAGGAAATTGACTGTGCATTTTGAATTGTTTGACACGGTAAGTCTAACGTAATATTTTAATACCACAAATAGGCCACACAATTGTGCATTAAAAATTAAAAAAAAATATGCTTTATCTTTCCTCAAAAGCACAAGAACTTAAATATTTTTTTTAATTTGACAACTTTCAAACAATTACACACTGACACTCGGAGCGCTGCACAAGGGCCACCATGCGGCGATTCTTATAGTAACTCACTAAAAAACACACGGTGCTTGTAACCAGTTGACGTTAGTAGGAGAGTGAAATGTAACAGAGGACATCTTTTCTTATCAGTTGGGGTTTTAGAGTTTAAAGGCTAATTTCTGTTACTGGGCCTCTTTTTTAAATAATTATTTTTGCATTCATCTCAGTATTCAGCATTACATGCACTTCAGCACAGCAGATGGAAAAGCATTGCAGCGCCTTTTAACATGCAATACTGTAATGCACTGTTTACGTTTAGCCTCACGTGCAGATGTGCACGTGAGGCTAAACGACTGGCTCACGACTGGCAACTGGCTCACGTGCACATGTGCACGTGAGCCAGTTTGACAACAGAGGGGGAAAACAAACGTGAAGCAAGGCAGGTACCAAACTAGTGATGTCATAGTTGGTTAGTTGTACACATTCCTATATATTTGATGGCAATGTCACAAGTTTCTTCATTGTACTTCAGCATAGCTGTGTGCAATTGCACATCACATACTTTAAAACTATGTTCAAGTTTGTTCCTGGCTGTATTACCCATTGATGTTTCATGGAAATTGCATGAGTTCACATAAATCTAGTTCCTAGTTATCTCGTCTTGAATATTTTCAGTCAGTACTCCTGTAAGTGTCAAGGAGATTATAAGGACAGGGCCTGCATGAATTTAGTGCAATATCTTTCTTGCAATTAAATGAAAATCAGTGGGTGAAGAAGCACACTTTGAAAACATTTTCATGAACATCTACTTTCCTATAGCTCGAAGCTGCTTTCCCACACAAAGAATGCCTGTCACAAGTTGCCCTGTCCAACCAGCTCAACACAGAAGTCATGCACTTTTCAATGACCTCAAACACCATTTTGAAATAACTAATGTGCACATACCTTCTGCTGCTGACTGGTACAGTTGCAGCATGCTTTCTTCAGCAATTTTTCTGCATCGATAGGGGGTAAATGGAAACATGATATATAGCAGGGTTAGCACAGATTTGAAAGTAGAGAATCCAAAGATAGTCAAGAAATTTCAAGGCAGTTTCAACCTATGAAACACTGCATCCAACGAGAAATTTTTGTATGAATATGATGTTTCAAACTCTGACTAAATTTATCGCACTTCTACACAACCAGTTGAAAGTGAAAATTACAATTAAATCACTTTGCTAAATGAAACGGTTTGTAAAATTGACACCTGGAATTGTGAAATTGAGGTACTTTAAGTCTTCTATGACTGTTTTTTTTTTGCTAAACCATGAGTGCTTGTGTGAATAGCCAGTTTTTGTGCACAAAAACTTAAACCTCATATATTTGGTCCAGGTGATTAAAGACCAGGTAAACAGTAACATAGAATGTGATGCAGCCAAAATGCAACCATGAACAGAATGAATGCAGCGATTTTGCAACCAGGGATAACAAAAAAGTTGCGTGGAGACAACTCCCATCACATGAAAAACAAAAGCAGATGGCCATGTTCATGCGAAAGCATTGACAAGAACAATAAATTGCTGCCACCTGCATACTACCTGCTACGTGAAAACAACAGGTTGATTGAACTGTTTCATGCTTGTTGAACGAATGTAGCTTTGTGAAAACAAGACCAAGCTAGTGACTACGGGTGACAAATGTTTTAACACAATAGCATAAGTGCCAGCGTCTCTCATAATCATATGGTGGTTTTAGGACGTTAAACGCCACATATCTATCAGCGTTAGTACCAACGCTTGAAGAAAAAAGCATCTTGAAAAAAAATTGAAATGTTCAGTGCCTCTTTAATTATTTCCTTCATAAAAACTTCTTTTAATCTATTTTGTTTCCAAGTCAACTTGAACCTTCTGAGTACCTACCAGAGGGTGTTAGGTTTTACCTTAGATTAAAAACAGCAAAAACGTTTGCTGTGTTTGAACAAGCTTTAACTATCACTACACCATAGAAAAGTCCAATGCTGATGTCATTATAAGCAGTGCCCCAACACACAACAGTTCAGGACACGTGCTAAGAATTTTCCTAGTATTAGCAAGTCTTGGCATTTTAAAAGCATATTAACTACATGAACTACTCACTTGACCGAGAAAAAAGCGAGAAAGAGGAACCTAAATGCAAGAGGCAAAAGTGAACTCATTAAAAGATGATAGTAAAAGAGAGAAAGCGAGATGAGGTGGCATGAGGGTTGAGGATTGAAATAGACATTAGGACAGAGCATGAACAAGCAGAAAATATGCAAACTTGCACTGTGTATTATTTTCGAAATGGATAGTTTGCTGCACTAATGCAAATGTATAACAGAAAGAAGAGAAGGTTGTACTGTCAATTTAATATTAAATAGCCATGGCCCCGAAGTTCAAGGTGTTTTTAAAGAGAGCATTCTATGCCAACACGTCCAAAGAGCTTGAAAGTCCTCGATGAATGGATGGATGGAAGAATGAAGTTATTCATTTATCTATCTATCGAAACAAGGGTACTGAAAGTGCACTTTTCAAAGTCAAGCATTTTCAAGGTTTTCAAGGACCTTTATGAACCCAACATGCAGTGCTTACCCATTCCTTTGACCACAACGTCTTGCAAATCTTGATTTCTTTTTCGTTCTTCCACTAACTTCTTTCTAAGGGAAATAATCTCCTGCTCTAATCGAGCATACTTCCCGATTTTTTTCCGGCTCATGCCCAGCTTCATCATCTGCAGGCCAATCCATTGACATAGTCTCCATTTCTTTCCGCTTTGCCACCTCCTTCCTTTTCTTTCTTTCTTTTTGGCTCAATTCTTCCTGCAAACAACACTGCATGAATACTTTGCATGGCTGCAGAGTACTGCCTTGACATGCACAGATTCTTTGATTACCACTGATAATGAATTTGCTGAAAAAAAATTTCATTCTTCAACACATAATAAGCAATATTTGCAATGTTACATATAAGTAATAGTTTGTAATGTTTCCAGTGTCTTGTAAGGAATTACATATATATAAACTTTTTTAGCATTTGCCAGAGAGTGAGCAAGCATGTCTTGGAATCCCACAGTCGCAGCTGTCCTATATGCCATTATGAGTCTAAAATTGGCCAATGATCAAAAACCTTGGGCGTGGTCATTATGGTTTACGGCATCACTATGAGAGAACAGTAAGCAAGTTCAAGCTGACTTTGATGAATAATTGCAAGATTCAGGTGACATGCTGAGCTAGAATGAATGGCTCACATGTTCTCAGGAGCTTCAACTACAGATTCGCAGCATTTTCTCGCCACGCTCAAAAATTGTTGTGCTACCCTTTCAATAGACTTAGAAAGAAAGGATTATTGAGACATTTGTCAGGATAAATTATCAGAGATGCTTCACAGGTAAAGTTTAGTTACCTCACAAGGGGAAGCCCCAAGAACGTCGTCAAATACGTGATCTGGCCATCGTAGACGACGCTTCTGCACTTTTCGTGCAAGTTCCTGCTTGGATTCTGTAACAACACCACAACAAGGCTACTCAGAGAAAGTGATATTAGTTGCAGTAGGCAAAGGAATGCACAATATTGCAATATTGCTGATGCACAAGTGATAAAAAGTCTGCATATATGTACATATAATTAAGACATGCAAAGTTTTATTGACAAAGAAACATGAGCACTTTTAAAATAAATGGTGACTGCCAGCTATGCAGCTAAGTAGTAAATTATGGACTTGTTATTGGACAAGAATAATTTCATATTGGCAGCTAGCTGCTAGACAGACATCCTAACTTTTAGAATCTACAGACACTAAAAGTGGACGACGTGATACAATAAAGAAGCCAAAGGGCTATTACTGTACCAAGTATATTATCACCTACGCCTCATTAGTTGTGACCTAGTTGACAAGGTAACAATTGTAAATCATGACCAAGGCAAGGGGGCGATTGCCCGCAGAATAGTGACGTAAAGTTTTGCACATGTTGTACTTAATGCATACCTTTTTGTCAAGACATCTGTGCTTTATTTGCAATGATGCAGGTTCATAAGCGCAGTGTAAGAAGATTTGCACTGCACTGGTAAGTAAGCAATGCACTTAGTTCACAGTGAACTTGTTGCTGTAGCCTGTTTCAAGAGAATATCTGAATAATATTGCTAAAAGCAGTCCTCTCTTCAGTGAAGATATCACAATTTTTTTTTCTTGTCCGTATTTGTTACATAACTTCTACTCAATCCAAGACATATGCAGCATAAAAATGTAAAAGACTGGAGTTCTTTCTGATGTGCTGCTTCAGCTGATTCAATGCCACTGCTCTCATTGGCTAAACAGGCATAGCATTGTCGAGAGAGAGAGCTCTTTGGTTCAGAATGCAGCCTGGCTTTAACACCCGTTCATAAATGCACTTATGTTTGATGCATTTAATTAAATTGATGTTGCAGCGACTCAAAGTGATAGCTCACTGCAACACAATTTACAAACACAGCACGATTCAAGGCATCAAAGGGAGCATTATAATCATGTTACGGAAACTTTCTTGAAGCAACAAGGCACACTTAGAGCAGAGCTGCACTCTAGGAATGCGAGATACGATGACCCAATGGGTGAAATAATGCTTCTATACAGAAATCTAAAATTGAATAGAAAGGCGAGAGCACCCACGACAACAGGATAAAAATGTAACGACGTTTCGGCATCCAGAAAGGGTGCCTTTGCATTGGGAAGAAGGCTCCCTTTCTGGGTGCCGAAACGTCGTTACATTTTTGTTTTGTTGTGGTCGGCGCCCTAGCCTTTTTATTCAATTATTCTCGACTAGACGGCCATTTATCGTACCCTTAAGTTCCAAAATCTAAAACTCATCAACACATCTGATAAAAGCCAAGGAAATAATCTTAGTGCTTTCTTCAGCGAGCACAGTGGTACAACAATATATGTATGTGCAATTTGCCTACGTCTACAGTGCACAGATATACGCAAGCTTTCAGTGTTATATGAACCACCTTAATTTTTTTTTCTGGCACAGTCAAACGTTTTGCATATGCGTAAGGTATTAGCGTAACGACAAAAAAAAATCAGCGAGATCAAATGGCGCCATACAAATTTACTTATAATCGGTTACTGTCCGCCGATGGTACTGAAAAAAGGCGCAGAGATAGCAAACAAAAGATAAAAATGTACAAGGCTTAATGATCAGACACACTTTATAGCATACTGTACGCCACTCACCAGCCAATTCGATGACGTCCCCGGGAAAGAAATCCTCAAGATCGCCATCTCCATTGTCTTTCTTCTGGCGCCAATATATCATTTTATTTTTCCCACTTGCGATGTCTTTCTCAGACGACGGAGAGAAATCCCTCACCAGTCGGTGCGACACGATAGCGCTGGTGCCATCCTTGTATATAACGTACGCATACATTATTATAAAAATCAAGGTAAAGAAGAAAAACAATTGTAAATGATACAAAAAGACAAGACGGCGCGACAGCGAGGAAGTGTGCAAGCAGATGGCCCTTAGAGGCTAGGCTACGGATGGATTCGTCTGCTTTGGGCTTTCATGGCTTTTGGCTATCGTGGTGGGCTCTAAACGTCGTCTGCTCTCACTAGAAGCATTGAAACCATGCATGTAGGAATGAAAAGCAGAGGCGTAGCCAGTGGAGGACATTCAATTCCTGCCAGAATTTTTCAATTTACATCGTTCTATTTGCAGGCGCACATACAAACGCGTATGCATAAACATGCATAATTGATGACTGACCCCCCTCCTCACGATAAAAATTCTGGCTATGCTTCTGGAGGTAAATATATGAAACAGCACCAATTTTTAAACTACCCACACTAACTATCTGTCAAAAACAAAATATTCTATTTGGTGAGTGAATGAATAAGGTAATTTCTTTTATTCAAGAGCCATCAGAGCGACATATATGTAAGGAATATTCCTTCCTCCATGATATGAAAGGTCATCGCGCACATCTTACATGGTGGATGCGGCCTTACGGAAAGGGCTCTTCAATTAATGATTTACAAAGGCGTGCACATTTTGCAAGTACAATTTTAACATATTCTTGTAGTTATTCACTTCGACAGCTGGCTTGAAGGTCACTCGATTGAATAACACCATAATTGAAGTTTTTGCGCACACACACAAGGACACAGAAGAAGGGAACACAAGGACCAGCGCAGACTAACAACTGATTTTTATTCAGTAAGAAAACAGAATATATACGCTTACTTGCACCCCATGATCACCGCGCATGAGCAAAAACGGCATCGTACAATCTTAAAAACCAAATATCACATGTTGTTCAGCAATTCAATTTCTTTTTCACTAAGCGATATCGACGGATGGCTGACGCACATATCTTTAAGTCTAGAGATGTGCCACGCTTCTACTATTTCTCTTGTTGTCTGATTTGGGTGTACATACACCACCTCAGTTTGATCAAACAACGGATTACATGCACTAAAAGAACAACGCGCACAGTGCAGTGCTAAATGTGTTTCCGGCCTCCCTTTCAAGTGGTCATGTGCTCCTTCAATCTCACATTTAAGCATCGGCCAGTCTGACCGACATAAAAGTTCCACCAACTGAAGGGGTCTTATAAACTAC